TCTTGTCGTCGACGATGCGAAAGCGTGGCAGGAATGGGACGCGGCGCGCATCGCGCGCGGCAGTCAATCTGGGCCCGCCCATCCTGACTGTAAAAAATCAATACAAAGTCTTCGTTTTTCATCTCAGCATGGCCTGCCTTGTCGCCGACGGTGCGAAATATGTGGCAGCAGTGGGACGCGGCGCACATATGGGACGCGGCGCACATCGCGCGCGGCCGTCAATCCGGGCCCGCCCATCCTGACTGTAAAATATCCATACAAAGTCTCCGCTTTTTCCTCTCAGCATGGCCTGCCTTGTCGCCGACGGTGCGAAATATGTGGCAGGAATGGGACGCGGCGCACATCGCGCGCGGACGTCCATGCGGGCTGCGGGCCCTCCCATCCTGACTGTAAAAAACAATACAGAGTTGCCGTTTTTCCTTTCATCATGGCCTGTCTTGTCGTCGACGATGCGAAATGCGTGGCAGGAATGGGGCGCGGCGCACATCGCGCGCGGACTTCTGGGGCAACCCCAAGGCGGGAGGGGCCACCTTACTTGTCAGAAACAATGCCATGCTGATTTTCCCTGCCCACATAGCTGTTCTTGTCGTCCACCCCGCAAAAGTGCATGGCAAGAATTGGGCGCGGCGCACGCCCCCCCCCCCCCCCGCTCGAAGTGAATGAAATGACCTTCTCGCTTGGGCGCCGAGCGAAATTTTCTCAAAATTGCGCCCCCGCTTTGGCTCGGCGCACGTTTTTAGCTCGCCAGTTCATTGGGCGCCGGGGCGTTCCAGGAGGCCCTGGGGTGACGAATGCCTCGGGGGGTTTTTGCCCGTTCAGGCTTTTGGAGGGCCTCCTGCGGTTCCCCGCGGCGTCTTGGCGCCGCGGCCGCGCGGAGGCCATCTCGGGCGTTTTGGAGCGATCTTTCGGCGACTCAGGGCTACTACTACTACTACTACTACTACTACTACTACTACCACTACTACTACTACTACTACTACTACTACTACTACTACTACTACTACTACTACTACTACTACTACTACTACGACTACTACTACTACCACTACGCGCCAGCACCCACTTGCGCCAGCATTGTTTCTTATGTTGTGGGAGGGCGGAACGTGTCCGCTGTTCCTTTCAACGCGGCCAGTCTTGTCGTCGACGATGCGAAATGCGTGGCGGGAATGGGGCGCGGCGCACATCCCGCGTGGACGTCAACGCGGTGTCCTGGGGCATCCGCCACTCGCACTGAAATGCCCGCGCAGCCCCCAGTTGTGCCATCGCTTTTTCTTATGTTGTGGGAGGGCGGGTGGGAATGAACATGCCGTGCTTGACTCGTTCGAGCTGGCTAGCTTGACCCGCGCCCGCGCCCGCGCCCACGCGCGCGCACGCGCGCGCGCACTCTCTAGAAGGCCAGGGGCCCGCAGACCAAGCACGCGCGTCGTGGGAGCTCAGTCTTGGGCAGAGTCCCGGGGAGAAGTATATATCTACACCTGGTGCTACTTGAGACGGGGCGAATGCAACAGTGTTTTCAAAAACGCGTGTGCTTCGAGGACTCGTGAGTTCTTCCGTGGCCAGTCTGGCTGAGACTGGTTTCTTTTGCCTCCAGCGGGGCGACGCCCTGGGGCGCGCGCGCTCATGCCAGGTCGGCGCGGTGCTTGACCGCAGAAGTTTGATAGAGTTCTCGCAGTGGGGTTGAGAAACTAGTTTCTTCTTGAGATCAACTTTGTCTGATATCCGTCGCCCGTGAGACGTGCCGCCGCATGGCGTCGAACTGGCTTCTCCGAGCGACGGCGCGTCGTGATTCAACCCCTCATGTTTGCACGGGCGCGGGGCGGCCCCGCCCCTCAAAAGCAGGCGCATGGGCCGAACATCGGGTACAGCAAATGATTTCGCATATTGTTCAACCGTCAGATACGGGTCTTTTATGTGTCAAACAATGGGCGACGGATTGTCTTCAACAATCAGATCTACCGTCTCTGGGTTTAGCTATGCATCACGTTCTCCGGCACATGTTTCCGCCTTCAACAAGGCATTGGTTGTCCCACCACGGCCGTCATGGTTTACTTCTTGTTGGCGTGCAGCGGTGTTGCTAGGTTACGTCGCGCTGTTCAACTGCGTCGTCTTCCAAGATGGCCAGGTCGGATTTCTCAGAAGTATCCCGGCGTCCGCGCACCGGGGGAGACTTTGGATTTTCAACCGCAATGGATGTATGAGATGTTGGATTTGGGGGCTAGTGTGCATGCAGACGAGTCAGCTGTGTGCGTGCTGTGGACAAGTTCGTCATCGCGCATTGGCAATGCGAACGTATCGCGGCGCTGTGTTCCGCCAAGTTTTCCAGCTCGACTTCGCGAGCATCTTCGTGCACTTCTGCGGCCCGTGTCCCGTGGGGGCCGTCTTCCTCGGTGTGCAGGCTTGCGCAAGACGTTGGGCAGCTTAGCATTTCTTCCACTTGCAGTGCGTGTTGATGAAGCTCGGGCTTTCTCGTTGGAACCAATACTTATTCGAATTGCTGAACCTGGAGGCAAGCGCGCGGGTCAACTTCTCATGGGCAAGCTCTCGGGCACCAAGGTCGGCAAGACATCTAGAGGGCGACGTCGTCGGCCTCCACCGCGGATTCGAGGACCTCGAGGTATCACATCGGTTTGGGCTCAGGCAGCTTTCTCTCGAGCAGTGGCAGCAGGTGAATCCAGGATTGTCGCGAAGGCAACATATGTAATTCCAGGTGCTCAACTTGTCGGTCCGTCTGCAGCTTTGCACGCGGGCATTCAACGAGTGGGGCGTGTTCGCGCAGGACTCGTGGGCCCCATCGATTTATTCGACAAGAAGTATATCAACCTGTTTGTTGCTTTCTGTGCATCGCATCGTCCGTTCGCTCGATTTCCTGATCGCATGCCGAAGTATATAGTCGCGGAGTTCTCGTGCTATGCAGGCCAAAAGATCGCCACGTTTGTACGGGGAGGTGCTAGGCAGACGGCAGCACGCATGTTCTTGGAGCGAGTTTTACGTGGGCAGCAGTAACCACCATTTCAAGTTGCACCCTTAGTCGTTCCCTATGCGATGGAAGGCTCCATGGCAGTGGCGAAGGATCTGGCTCGTCGCGCGGCTACTCGCATTCG